GTGTGTGTGTGTGTGTGTGTGTGTGTGTGTGTGTATCTGCTAATAATGCATGCAATGTTTGCATAGTACCAGTGCCATGGCAAGAATTCCTTTTCCTTCCTTCAAATTTACTTCTGATAATTACAAAAAAAAAACATTTAATATGAGTGTAAATATTAGGCTTTTTGGAAAATGAGTTTTGGATTATGTTTTAATTATCGACTATACTGAAAGGGGTCTAAAAAAAAGCTGCTACATAAAAAGCTACACACATAGGCAAGTGATTATGGATATCACAGATCAAACTCATTGCTAACTTCTGGATATTCAAGTTGATCCTCGTTATATTTCGAATTTGAATCCAACTAGGCTCGTAAAATAAAAATGGATAAGTAGAAAGGGCGTATTCATTTTGATTTCAACAGATAATTGAACATCCAATATTTATAAAAGATGCATATCTGCACAGAAATTTCTCGATAGTCAGTTTCAACGGATAAAAAAATGTGGATAAGTTTTGAACACATTTGCGACCACAGGATAAAAGAGCATGACGAATTTAAGGATTATTGTTGAACTAATCAGAAAAATCATTCTGACTTGTTTGGGATACAAAAATAATGACGGAAAACATTCACTGTAAAAAGATTTCGGAAAAAGATCTTCTTTTTCAAAAAAGCTTAAAAAACTTAAAAAAAGTATTTTTATTAAAACTATCAATCATAATATTTTGAAAAAAAAGGCTGAAAGTGAAATGAAGGAAAAAAAGTAAAAATTCCTAACATTTTTACCATAGCCAATATGTCTTCTTTGTGGTCACTATAATGCCCCTATTTCCTCAATTATTGCAATTAATAACTAATCATATCAGCGTAAAAATAAAATTAACATCCTTCCACCAACTGTGTTGTTCTTAGAAAGGTATAACTATAACTCCTGAAAAAACATGGATCATTCGGAAATGATGTAGCGAAAAAGAATGATTTATCATAAAAGAGTGATAAAAATAACTCATCAAATTTAAGCTCACTATTACAAACAACGTAAAATGTTAGCAACCATTTTAAATAATTTTATTTGTTTTGTTACTTATTTCTAACAACTCAAGAAGTCGCATGCTTCAATTAATTTATTCATGGAAGCAAAAAAAGCTTTGTATTGCATGGAAGTGCTCTACGAATCACAATGATGTGTCAGATAAGTTTTTAAGTGATTTTTTTGGATGTAACAAAAATTTTAAGCCTCTAAAATGAAAACTTTAAACCATCTGATAAAATAACGAAATCGCTCCTTCTAATTAGTAAAATTCTAATAAGCCATTCAAAAACATTGCTCTATCAATCGTTTAAAACATATCAAATTAACTCCACAAAACCTTAGACTTCAAAAATCAACTACGCGTCGAATTTAAACAGCTTAATATTTATTAGATTCAGAGTGACTTATGAGTAGACTTCAATCACAGGATACAACAACATAGTTATTTGATAGGAATAGTGCTAACGATCGATCTAAAAGGAATCACTATAATTGTAAGGAAGGTAAGGAAAGGAGAAACAATCTGCAACGACTATCGCTTATCAATTTCAATACCAATCCCGCAAGGACTCAATGAATAGAAAATGGATTCAGGAAGGATAACTTTATTTCTTCTATGATACGCGTAAATTATTTTGTGTTTATAGCGCATTAAACGATTGAAATAGGCTAACTTGTATTGGATTCTGTTATTTGTGAGAAAAATAGATCACGTATTGACTTAAATGTTAAATATAATTGTTAAAGTTTTATTTGGTACCAAAATGTTTAACTACTTTCTTAACAGTATAAATCTCCAATTCTAACAAATAAACAGGCTCTTATTTTATCCTAACAATATTAGGAACAGAATTCCAATCAGTTATATTTTCACTTTCATCTAGCGAGTAGTTAAGAATTACTAAACTATCAAAACTGGTTAATCATGCAGTGTTTAAAATTAATTTATCCGTAACAGTTTTGAGAATGAAAATGTTTTAAAATAACACATTACCCTTCGCAAATCAAACAACTTGAACCAGAAATTTTTTGTACTTGAAATAAACTACAATAAGACTGGTCTCAGGAGCTTCTCTTATTTTCTTTAAAGAGCTTTAAGATTAGGACAACTATGGGAACAAAGAGAGGAGAAGAGATGGAGCCGAAATGATTACTTTTCAATATAAAGCAATTGAAGGATAAAAAAGATTAAATAATAAATATCACTAACATTTATTCGCCATCGTTCGGAATCGGCTGGACTGGTCATGTATCCGGAATCAGTGCCACTGAAGTGTTGGAGCGAATTGACTGACTGATGAAAAACAGGTGCTCCGTATGATTGTGCGATGAAAGGTGTCGTGTAGTAATGTTTCGGGAAATTTTTTGAACTTGATCCTGATCCCAATAGATACGGAGGCATCTGTGAAGACGATGACGACTTATTCCCCATTCCCTCAACTGTCGTCCATTCTCGTCAACGTTACCACCACACAAACTGAAGTGCTGTTGAGCTATGGCCCTTCCTGTCTCCAATGGTGCTCCCCTGTCGCACCCTCCCGACAGCAGCAACAGTTACCCTTTCCTTTGCCTGAAACGTCCGCCTCCCTCCCTTCCTCCTCTCTCCAACGCTTTCTTTCTCCCTCGGGAATGTCCCTCCGTCCAACATACTGCATTTGTGACACAGATGGTGACGATGATTCCTTGACACTACTCAATGAGATCCCCGTCAAGATGAGATCGCCGATCTCCTACGCCTATCTCTCACCCCTTCCACCTCTCTTCACCTCCACTCCTATCATCATCACCATTACATTTCTAAAAAATTGACAGATCACCTGAATTGCAAGTCTCAATTGTAATTTAACAAAGTTAGATGGCCTATCCAGTCCTTTCCAGAAATTACTCCAAATGTTTGTCTAATTGTTGAGTGCAAAAGAAATATTCCCTCAAAAATATTTTGAATTTTATTTTCTAGTCCCACTGCAGGTACAAATTTGAAAGGGAAATGTTCACATTTTATCTTTAACATCAACACTGATAGGTAGTAATAATGTCCTTTGGGTTTTAAAAGATCAAGTTAGAAATGAACAGAGATATAGTGGCATACTTATACCTATGCAGTACTGATACCTTTTAATACAATGTTTTCCTGGCAAATTTCTATGTAGAACGAAATGGTTGACAGGGCCGAGCACGAAAACCATTGAATGTATGCTCCCAGCATCAAAACATCATTACAGACAACAGGTAAAGGTCAACCCCAAATGACTTGGTGTGCCACTGTCGACAAATGATATCCATATAGTACTCTTATTGGTCAACCGTCCACTAAATTTCTCTTTCTTTCTTTCTTTTTTCAAATTTCCACCCTGAGTGCATATTATTTGTTTTCAACACATTATATTTTTAAAAAAAGCATTCCATTCAACTACTATCACTGATTTAGAACTCTTCATTAAAAATTGTAGATTATCGTTAGAGAAATTTAAATTATTTCAAAATTATTAAAAAGATTTCATTCGGGAAATTTTACTTATTTTGGTGATAATCTGTGTTATCAAATGCTGAAGGACGCTATTGACATGATTAATAGAGTGTTAATCATTAGCAATTGTGACTATGATTTATTATTTTGCTTGAATTTCATGCTTCAGCAAAATGTAAAATTTTATAAATGAAAAAGCACTAGTTTTTGAATGTGTTACGACAAAAATTAGTTACTTATTAAACCAAAAAATTGCAAATATTTTGTAAAATATGACACGTTTGTCATTTACATCATTACGATGATTGGAGAGGGAGAAAGAGGAAGGCACTCACATCCAAATAATATCAGCTTCGTACTTCTTACTGCCACTCCCTTCACAAAGAATATCGAATTGTACACAAATCTACTCGAAATGTAAACAATATAGCATCCCTGACTGTTCCATCGATACCAATCAAATCGCACCACAAAGTAGATTAGTGTGTGCTTGAAAATAAATGAATAAAGATTTGGTGGTGATAATGAATTGAATTGAAAATTGTTCATAAGAATAAGTATATTCACTTAATACGCAGATTCCAAGAAAAAGATATGTTGTGTAGTTGGGCATGAAAACACTATTGATTCATTTATAAAAAATTTCAAATAACTTTCAACGATAGTGTGAAGGTCTTGAGAATCAGTTAAAAAACTTGCAGAAAAGGTGTCAAAATTTACGGATTTGATAGTTTAAAATGATCTCACTGCACGCAATGTTCTATATTGTTAGTTTTTCGTTTGAGAAATGTAATTGTGCCAACTTAACAGAAAGCAAGAAAGAGAAAGTGAAAAAGAAAAAAAAGAATCTATAAAATAATTTCAAGTTTTCATCGTTCTTCACAAAATGTTCCTGTAATTATCATGATATAATAGCACTGAGTTAATTTTGAATGCATGTCTACGATATCAGACGCTACTAAAACCGGTCAGTCTGCATCAGCAGCTTCTCTTCACGAGCACAATTTTATCATCGACAAAAAAAAACCAAAAAAATCTTCAGGAAATAATTATTATTAATTACGCAGGAATTCTTAAAATATTCACACGCTTGTTTTCCTCTAATTTCATGGATCATAAACTCTTCACACTTTATTTTTATTCTCGGGTTTAAAAGTAATTATAGTAACGGCTTTTTTATTGCGAATCAAATAATCAATAATAAATGACAAATGATAGTTTTGCTATTTTCATTTTTCTTTTCAAGAATATTTACTTTGAAAAAAATCATGGTTATTTGTAAAATTTCTGGGAAGAATAAATAGTACTAGTTAGAAACAAATCATTATTTATTCTAAATTAGTTGATGCCTTTATTTTCCGCTTATTTATGTACGTTAGTTGATTAAATGCGATTGATTTAATGAACAAAATTAAATTAAATGCAGTTGAATACTGAAATATAATTTTTACCCCTATTATATTAAAATTTCTTTTTTTTTAGTAGACCAAAACTACTCATACATGTTGTAAAAGTATATAATGTTAAATATTGTAATTTATTTTTCAGTTCGTAATTTCGACACATGCAACAAGTAGACAATTTTATTGGTCAGAATGCACGTAAATTATTTTTTATTCAATTTAATATTTTGTTGAACTTTAATTTGAGATCGAATTAGAGATCATTTAACGTATAGCTTGATAGGTGTATACATCAATTTGAATTGTTATTTCATAACATAACAACTTACTGTCACAGCATCCATAACCGAACATATAAGTTTTTGTAGGTATCTTAATTTATACTGGCAACTGCACCGTATTGAAGATCTCCAACTGAACCAAAATATTTCCTCGTTGATTAACTGTTACTTTTGTCATATCCGACAAACGAAGTATGGAAGTGGTCAATAATTTTGAAAGTGAACAAGACTTTATTTAAAATTTTTGAAGAATTAAACAGTTTAAAAAACAACAACAGATGGATCAAAAAAAGAAGAATGATTGCAAAATTCTGACATTTTGATATTTTATCTACTTGTAGCTTTGGAAATCTCACATTTATGTGTGGTTAAAAGCTAAATACTATCGAAACGATTGAGAAAAAACTAGAAGTATATTATCCAATAAATGACTTGCATGTCAGGACTTAATATCTACTAACAAAGTGAAATTATCTTTTTTTGTAAGACCCAAACATAAAAATAAGAAACAGTCAAAAATGATAAAAGTTTTACCCAGCAATTTCAAGCAAATCGATAATACTTACTATCTGATGTTGATCATGAGATACTAAGAAATTCAAATCATTGTTGACCTGATCACCGATAGACTATCGGCTAAAGAGTTTAAAAATTAGGATGTTAAATAAGTGCATTTCAGAATTAAATTGAAATATTTTGTGTAAATGACTCATGCAGCTGTCTTTCATTTTTTCAAATTTTTGTTTATTTTTTCTATCCAGACAACAATAATTTCTTTTTCTTAATTTTTAACAGTCTTTTACAAATAGTTAAACATTTATGTCTTTCAAAGCAGAGTCAAAAGGATTATGTTAAGGAATTTATTCGTTTACATGAAGTGATCATACGCTATTTTCATCCACAAATAGCCAAATATTCATTAAATATATACTGAATTGTCTTTTTTTCATAAAGTATTGTTATTCATGATCAATACTCTTTCTCATCAAAGCAGTTCTATAATCAATATTTAATCAATCACTAAAAGTTGGAGTAGTCTATTCTAATAGCTTTGTTTTTCGATTTTCTATTCTATTGCATTTAAAATTTTGGATTGGAAAGTGGAAAATACATAATCGTTCTTCAGGAACTAGAAATTTATAGAAATCTTTTTAAAATATTGAAAAAAAAAATGAATGGAAATTCTGGACAGAAATTGAAACAGAAATTTGCAATCTTTTGATGGAAGGCAAATGTTTCTGTTTCTAATTTTACTTTAATTATGAATATATTGGAAATAAAACTTAATTGAAATTTCAAATTTGAAATTATATAACCAGAGGATATCATATAAGCTCTACAACTGAATAATTTAAACATTATAAGAGAAATATAAATTGCCAAATTGAATTTGGTAGCATAATGGCAATCAATTACTATAATACTTGAAATTACAGTAAGATTTTTGTATATCCGAAAACCCGTAGAAAATTGATAAATGATAAGCAAACAGCAGACAATTTTTTTTTGTTGTTAAAAATACAAAAGACAGAAAATTTTTTGATTTACAGAAATTATCGATCTTTCGAAAAAAGGTCCAACTGCATTTGTGTTTTTTAAATATACAAAACTAAATCGAGTTTTCAGGGATACAGAAACTATCTAAAGATGAAAACATTACCAGTAAATTAGCCAAAAATTAAAAATAAAAACGAAAAAATTGAAATTTCAGTTTCTCTAAAATAAACCAAAAACGAAATTGAAATTAAATAAAAATGAAAGAATCAGCTTGCTAAGAATTAACGCTTCTACTAAAAATTTGAAATGATTATGCTTAAATTTTATAAACAGAATTTCTTATTTTTTGATTTCTAAACCAACCATTTCAGAATTTTAAAGCACATTGCCAATTTTCTTGAAAGAATTAAATAGAAATAAAAAATGCATCGCACGTTTATGGATTGAATTTTTATTTTTTGATATAACAAGTTCATCGCATTATCGAATCCAAGACTCTCTGGCTGTAGATGAAACATCTGTTCATCTCATGAATTTGGACATTTCTCATTATTATTGCTGAAGTGATTGTAATGTATAACTTTATAACTTTTCTACATTCCATTTAACTTGTCGCTAGTTTATTTTAAATAAGAATTTTGGTTGAAAAATCTTCCGCTTGCCGCCAGAGGATTTGACTTTATTTAGATTCTAATACTCCATAAATTAAACGCGAAAGCATTTATTTAATTATGTTATGTACATGTTATCTTTCGCAGAGAAAATATTTGATGAGACACAAATT